ATAGGTGTTTAAATATTTTTCGGTCAATCCAGGTGTCTAACGTTATAAATGTTAACACTTTAGGTGTCTCGACTATACGGTTGTTAAATAATATAGTTAAGTGACACGTGTCACATTCATAGAATTTTGAATTAAAAAAAAACATAAAATTAATATTTAAAAAAAAACTTACAAATTTTTAAAATCTGGAAAATGACACTAAATTCTTAAAATATCTTATTCTAATCTCCTTTACTTTAACCGTCGGTCATCTCCGACCATCCATCTGTCGAAGAACGACCACCCGTACGTCATCGACCATCCACTGGTCAGTCATAACCCTTGTTATCATCTCAAAACCCAAAATCCAAAATTTTGAAATCCCTATACTTCAACCCTTAATCTCTAAAATCACAAATACCCATCTCTTTAATCGATCGTGGTAATCGATTGTTTAGTCGGCTATGACATGCGATCGTTTGGCCATTTGATTGATTGTTTAGTCTGTTGTTTAGTCTATCGTTTAATCGGTTGTTGGAGAAGGTTTTTTTAAAAAAAGAAATTAATAATATTTTTATATTTAAAAAATAAAATTTTAAAATTCTATAAATGTATATATGTCATTTAACGGGTTTTTTTGTTGTTGTTACGATCGAGACATTTAAAGTGATAATATTCATAATTTTAGACACCTAAATTGATAATAAAAAAAAAATTAGACGCCTATATGAGAAAAACATATGATTTCGACACTTTTTCATATTAAACCTAATTAAAATAAATATTTATAATATGTTTATTATATTAATATATAAATGTATATTTTTTAGAGAATAAATGAACAGTCATTTAAAGAAATTATTGGATGCAATGGTTTGAATAAAAAATATAAATTACTGTAGGTTTATAGTACTCACTCAACTTTTAATTCCAAAATAATCTCTCTACTCTTTTTGATTTAGAAATTAAAATTCAATTGATAATCTCTCCAAAGAGTCGGCCTACGCCGTTCGTTGGACCATCCAGAACTACCTCCGACCAGGCGATGCTGCCATCCTCCTCCACGTGTCACCAACCTCTGTACTCTACGGAGCTGATTGGGGCCCAGTTCCCCGGGAACACAAAGCCCACGAACGCCGGAGACCCAGAAGAAACTGGAAGACGATTTCGATGCCTTCACGGCTTCAAAGGCGGCTGATTTGGCCAAACCCTTGAAGGAAGCTGGGATTCCCTTTAAGATTCATATAGTGAAAGATCATGATATGAGGGAATGATTGTGCATTGAGCTGGAGAGGTTGGGGTTGAGTGCTGTTGTAACGGGGAGTAGAGGGTATGGAGCTGAGTTAAGAGGGAGTGATGGGAAATTGGGATGTGTCACCGATTATTGTGTGCATCATTGTGTTTGCCCTGTTGTTGTTGTTAGGTATCCTGACGAGAAAGATGACCGGAATAGGCAGCCCGTCGCGACAACTAAGGAGGCCAAGGCGGAGGAAAAAGGTGGCAAAAGTTAATCCTTTTGGGGTTCATTTTTGGCTTCTTGATTGGAAATTTGGGGTCTTAGTATTTGTTTCAGTGCTTAATTTGGATGGCATGAGTAGTTTGTGTTTCTATAATATGAACTGATAATTAGGGTAGTAGCAAAGTTGTGCCATATGATCCGAATTCCGAATACCCTATCCCATATACTCCCCTGGTCTTTTTGAATGGCTGAAATTTTGATTTCTTGCTGGTGTTCTGATATCAAATTCGGATGACTTCAGCATTTCTCTCTCACGGGTATGAATTTTTATTTTGTTAGATGATGATAAGGACAGTAGTTTAATGTTACCACGCACAGCAGTTTGTTTTCGTGGATGATAAGATACTTAAGGTGGCAGAGTTGGTCTTTTCTTGGTATTAATGACCAGTTAATCTTGGAAACGTCGTACTACGTACTGGCTTTTAGTTATTCAAAATGCTCTTTTCGTTAAGTTAGCCGAAAAATAGGGCATGATGGAGCCCGGGTATCCCGAGCAACCCCTCATCCAGGGGTGGATCTCCATGGTGCCCGAGGTATCCCAAGCAACCCCTCCACAAGTGTCACCCCTCAAAAGTTCCACCCTGAGGCTCTTGCAACCCGTGACGAAGGCTCCTGGGTCCGCCTCTGGCATGATAGTAGAATATGCTACATATATGTATATCTTATTCCAAAGTTGGTAAAGTTTTAGTTTCTTGTTCTTGTAGATCATATATTGTTTAGTTTACTTTGTAGTATTAGATTTAGATATTTAGAAATGGGAGGATCTGTTGAGTGGATGGGATTAGTTGTCCCCTTGAATTTTCTTGCTGATCGGGAGCTAATTGATAAGTATTTGGGTGATGGACAACAGCACTGCTTGTGGAGTGTGGTGCTTATCATACATGTCACTACTAACTTGGTATAAAATAACAAGGGAGCGGTTGATAAATATTATAAAGATATGTGATATCAATTGTTTTCATTTTCATTAACTCGGATGTACATGCTTGATGAGAATCTTTTTCCCTGCCTTGAGCTTTCTTATGGATGGTGTGTTGTTAAATTTGGGAGTTAATTCATGTGTGGACGAGTTATGCACAATGGAAATGATTATATGATGAGGATGACATGTTGTAATGCGATGTGCTTGATGTTAGAAGCTACACTCACCGGTGCCGAAGAATTCCGTGGCATGGTACATCCGGAGCCTTTCAACAGGGAACTCCTACAATGTTACAGCAGGTGTGGTTGGCTGAACCGGCTGAGTATCTAGGTAAGGCTCTGACTATACGCCTAAAGGTCTCTGTCAAATCTCTAAAGAATGTCACCTCCTCAACCCCCGCATCCCTAAGCTCCTCAAGGTTCGTATCAGGGACAAACTCATCACCTAGATCGTCCGCAAGGGCTACCCCACTCTCATGCCTATCATCCTGAACGGGGCCTGGGCTCTCATCCATATCTAATCTCTTAAAATTAAATAATAAGAGGTGTAACTATAAACATTTTCAGAAACAGAAGTACTCTTAACATCCCTAGATACATTATATTCTTGAACTTTTAACGACTTTGACCCGCAAATCCTATGAACGTCTAAACCTGACGCTCTGATAACATTAAATATAACACCCTTCATTAGTATAACACACAGTCAACCGATGAGAGCACCACATAAAACCACTGTAGTGGTTAACCAAAATTTTTCTTTAAATACTCAAATAAAGACATACACTTATAAATATTCGCGATAAAATAAATAACACCATTTATACAAAACTCGAGTATATAAAATAGGGATTTCAAATATACATGCCCTCTAAGAACTCGAGTATTAAATTGCGGTCGTATAGTAACATTTTTCAATTTCATATATTTATTTAAAATATTTTTTTCAACAAAATAAATATCTTTTCCTCTCAAATTTCACATTATTTTTCTTATTCCCATTCCTTTCGATGTGTCGTTTGCTGCGTCGGCTCGCTAACTCTTCGTTCTTCTTCTTCTCCTCTTTATTCTTCTTACTCTACTCCTCCTCCATCAACTCCTTATGTTGATCAAGAATAGAATTTATTGATTCTTTAACTCACTCCTCATCTGAAGACGAGTTTGAATATGAATCGTCAATATCAGAGTGATTAGACCAAAGATAATCTTCGAAAATTGCTTGAAATATTCTTCCCACAAGTGCATGTTTTGGTTCTCCTATAACTCTATCAACTAACTCAACTCCTATTTATAGTTAAAATTTGAGAAAATGAACGTTGGAACTCGTCACATCGATGTGACGAGTTCCAAAGACTACCAACGACTATTTTTCAAATCTAAAACGGCTATAAATTTTAAATTAAAGTGATGAGTTCCATTATATTTTTTTTCAAAAATTAAATTCACATAATAATCTGGAAAAATATTTTTAATAGAACTTGTCACTTCCTGAAATATTAAAATATTAAGCCTGTAATATAAAAATAATATCCTATGAAACTTGTCAACTCGAGATGAAAAGTTCACTCTGTAGAAAATGTCGTAGATCTCAAAATAATTACGCCGCAGGAACTATTGGGCCAAAAAAAACATGTATGTATGAACCACCCCAAAAGCAGACCCAAACTTGATAGATGGAATCACATAAAGTTCTTCATGTGATAAAGGGTGTCACATGAGAGAATGTTTCAACGATGGAATCGCATTGATGAAACTCTCAAGGTCTCTTGCTTATTAGAGGAGGGGGTGAGTCTCATAGTATTAAATTGCGATCATATGCAATCATATAGTAACATTTTTTATGTTCACCGCAACGTCGCATTCGCGTCATTAAAACGTAGTTATTTTTTTTAGAAAATAAACCATGTCGTAACATTCTCAACCGTGGTAACATAGCCACAATTGCAACAGCAACCATAATTTAGTACTATGGTGAGTCTCCTGGAACTGTGAAATCGCATGATGTTGTCTGGAACGTAATCACATTGGTATCGACAAAACAAGGCTCGGAGGAACCTTGCACAAGTATTTCATTTACGAACGTCACCAAGTTACCGAGCAATCGTCGAGTTTCTCGAGTCGGACATCCTATTAACAAAATCCATGACAATCTCTTATAGATTCTCTGTCAGCTTCCATTAGTCAACTATGCGAGCTTCGAGCTCTTCTACTAAGAGACTGTTGTTATCTAGAGAAAATCCCACCAGTCTGAGCTCTCTATAAAATCCAGATGATGGATCTCTTGAACTACCGAACGGGACAAGTAAGCTGAATAAGCTACAAGAACTACATTTGTCCCCGGCAGCACCATCCAGAAACCATTGAAGCCGGTACGATGTCCGGGTTGCAAAGCCTGGATTTTTAGAGATGTCTTGCAGTGCATACATGCAGGATACATGTAGAACTATTAATGTCACAAACATTATCATATCTTTCGGCAAGCGTCGACATAAAATATTCATATACGACACTCTTCGAAGTTTAAAATAACATAAACTAAAAATATTTTACTTGGATAATTGCAACTTGATCAAAACCTAACTGAATGGCAACCAATAAACTTTTTAAATTAATAGAATAGAAGAGAGCTGGAGCTGTAATTCTATTATTTACACATCACAACTATAGGGAAGTCCATTGACTGTAATTTACAGTTAAATATAGGGAAAAATACAACATAGTATTAAACAATTCGCTTCACAGTCAAAAGCAACCTTCTGTCCCTTGTTTTCGTCTCTAAACATGGTATTAAGCACTGTTAATCAGCCTCTGGAGAATCAAATGATTAAACATGCACACCTGAAAAGGAGATTAAGGCCAAAAGTCGGTTCATAATCATAATCCGGAAAGCTTGTTATCTGATCAGTTTAACTAGAAGAAGCCCAAGGAAAATGAGGGACAAAAATGATATAGATTAAATGAATCAATATTCAGCCAACAGAATCCCGAAAAATGTATGGTTTGACCCCACGTTCAAGCAGAAGACAGGTTCATAATCTAAAAGAGTACTGTGTTCTAAGTGCAGCGCTTTATCGAGCCATTAAATTAATCAAAAGGAAAGTGATAACACATCAATATGACAAGGAACAATGAACATCTCGGTGCAGGTGAAACTCGTGATTTTTAAATTAGCTAAGCTGTCTCCTTGTGGTTTAAGCAAAAGCTTGTACTAGTTAAGATGATATGTTCAGGAACGTTAAAGGTAACACTAAACAAATAGTTTAAACTAGAAATAATATGATTACCTCTAATCATATTCATCACCTTCATCTTCTTCGAAATGATTCCCCATCTGGAGGTCTTCACGGTTATCATCCACAAACTCGAGTTGAGCTTCCATTCTTGAGTTCTCACTATTATCTACAATCTCAAGCAGAGTGTTGGTTTCAGGGCTGTCATTTTTATTTACAAAACCCTTTGTTCCTAAAGGCATCTGAGGACCATCTAATCTAGTTTCTTCAATGTTGTTTAGAAATTCAGCAACCGTAGCACCATTTCCGGTCATGGAGCTAAGAGTGCCGGAGCGACTTCTACTTGAAAGCTGACCATTTTCAGACAAACCGGACATTTGATGCAGCAGGCATCCATTGCTATTGCTATCTACTGTTGGAATCCTGTAAACCAGACTAGAAGAGCTAACAACATATCCATGGATGTCAACGTAAGCAAATCGAAAGAAATGTCTGACAATAAAGAGAAAAAAACAAGGACTAAAAACCAAAAGTTTGATGCACGCTATGCAACTGATTGAACTCATGCATCTTACAGGGGCTGAACCCTTAAGATGCAGAATGCTTTATTTCAAAAATCACTTTAACTATCAGGAAATTTGCAAAGGTATAAAGAATTGGCATGCATCCTTAGAATCAGTAAAGCAGGTCACCATAAATAGCTTTCAGCACACTTTGCTTGCTGGAACTTAAAAGTTTGACGGTAATCAAAAACCGGAACTAATCTTTTTTTCAGTGCTGCAATCATGGAAGTTGGCAACATTTCAATCTCTATTTCCCCGACAAAAGAATTTTCTTCAGCCATGTTGGTGCCATCAATCACCATTGATTGAAAGTACATCTGAAAATAAATGACAAAACAAGTTTCTTAAAAAAAAAAGTACAGTATTCCTGGTCCTACTGAAACCGAGATTCAATACCAAGTTCTAAGCAAACATCAAAGAAATCCAGCCACAGAATAATACCTCTGGTTTTGCCCACAATGGTGTTTGAGCTTGATGCATCTGCAATTCAGCTTCTGAAATATACAAATTATGTTTTTCCTCGGTGTTGGTATTTGCTTTGTCAACAGCGGACGGGTCAAGGAATGTAGTTCCCTCTTTGATATCTCCAGGATACACTTTACCAATTTCTGATGTTCCATTCTCGCCATATATGTCTATATTATCTTCTCGTTCTCTTCGGGTTTGTTTATGACAAATATTCCACTTCTGTATTGCCTCAACTACTAGCCTCCCATCAGATTCTGCAGATGATTCATATGATCCGTTTAATCCAGAAACAACTGATGTTGGATCACGGTCAGGAGATGGTCGTAAAGCATACTGTATCATACATCCAGAAGGAGAGAAAAACAAGAGGTGATACTTTGTCTTCAAAGAGCTACTCTCGGCAAACAAAAGATTATTGCCTTTGCAGTTATGGAAAGTGGAAGCAATTGCCCCTGAAAGGGAACCCATCCTGCCAGTTGCAGCCACAGCAGCACCACTTACAGTGCCTCTCCAACCATTATTTCCGTTCCTTATTCTGCTAACAACAGAAAGTGTCACTGGAGGTCCAGAAGCACAAAGACTTGTTTGAGTAGGTGTTTGTGCTCCTATATTAGGAGGCCAGTGAACTTGTGGCTTAGTCATAACACCCAAACCGCCATTTTTAGGAGCAAAACCAGCATCGGCGGACTGAAAAGTTACAGATCCATCCACTGAATTGAAAGCAAATAGATGGCTTGTCCCTCTTGAAGAACTAATCATAATCCAATTACTATCATCACTGAAACTAATATCCTGTATTACCTGAAATCCCAATAGAATGGAGAAAAGATTTAAGAAATATTCAAGTTGCTAAAAGCAGGTACGACTTACACTGAACATTAATCTTACAGCATTTGTAAAACCACGCTGCAATCGATAGAGATGTGAATACGATGCTGATACATCACAAGCATATGTGCTTCCTTGAAATCCAGGCATAATCTTGAAAACGTTGATATTATGACCCTGAACTGAAGCTGTCACAAGAAGAGTCCCACTGGGATCAAAGCATAATGCTGAAATAGGGCTCTTGTGTGCCCTAAACTGAGCAATAATAACCTTACTGACGATATCTCTGACAATAACCTGATAAGCCCATATAAAAATAGTAACTGATATGTTAAAATGATTTTGCTTGTATTATTTTCAGATGATTGAAACCCAAGAAAGTAAAACTGAAAAGTCATTTTGTATTACACTACACAAGTCTCGCACTGAACGATATCTACTAAATACATAAATTATTAAACAGAAAATTTTATACATGTCTAACAACAAGAAAGGTAGCAATTTGCAGATATTAAATTATGGATTATATATGAGGCCAAAGGTGAAAAGGAGGACGACAAAAGGGAGTACAGAAAAATAAATATCCAAATTGCGGGTTTAATCAGACTTGGGGAGAAAATATGTACCATTCCGATGTTATCAGTATCGAGAAAATGACCATTAACATTTCCATTGCCTTCCCAGCCAGGATTTCCTGATTTCTGAGAACTGTACGAGTCTGGCAGATATTTCGATATTTTCTTATATCCCATGTCTCCTAAGGTCACAATCCCGGCAGCAAGTTGCTTGCTGGATTCTTTTGCATAGTGTACAACCAGGCTCCCAGTTGAAGAAAAACCAGGGAAACTTGCAGAAGGCATAAGATGTTGTGGACTGACACGTCCACAATTGGAACTTACAACTGGACTTCCACTATATGCCAGCCACCTAGGACCAACTGCCAAAGGTCCATAACCTACAGCTCCGGAACCCGGGCAGGCTGTGACTATAGGATTTGTAACAATTGTAAATTCCTTTTCTAATGTTGTGGAATCAAAACAATGGATCTGCAAGATAAAAAACTTAATTCTAAAATCAGATAGGTGTAATGATGCTAAAAAAACATTGTACATAAGGTAGCATACCTGAGCTGCTTGAGCTATAGCAACAATTCGAGAACTGCACCTTACAGAATAAACAACTGATCTAAACTTTAGCTCATGTATATAAGATTGAGATCTCAAGGAATAAAACCGGACAATGGCGGCAACAGTGCTAGCATTCCCCGAATCATTGCTGTGTGGGATACTTCCATTGCAAGATTGATCCTGATTGTTAGTACCCCCAGAGAAGGGGTGCTCAGAACAAACTACCAAAAGGGGAAGACTGTTTGCAAACTTGTCCTCTGATCTCTTCGCTGCTACTGGTTTTGGTAGCATTTGCATAAATGAAACAGGACCATCATGTCTTGAAACCAAGACTCGAACACTATCTGCTTCTTCAACATCCCAAACCTGGAAACCAGATCGATAACCAAGTAGAAGAACCTGTCGGATGATGTCTTTCTCATCTTCTAACTTGTCAAAGCCAGCCCAATTAACCTTTACATTAACAAAAGTGACAGAGGAAAATCTTCAAGTTTTAAGACAAATGGTAAACTGAAAATCTTCAAAAACAAAAAACCTTGAATTAATACACAGTTACACACACACACACACGCACACACATATATATATATATATATTGGTCCCTAAAAACCTTCAAGTTTTAGGACAAATGGTAAACTGAGAATCTTCAAAAAGAGTGAATAGCAAATTTAAAGGCACTAACTTCGCCTAAGTAAACCCAAAATCATATGCCTATAACCAAAAGACCCATTTTTCTTTTTTCATTTTAAGAAAATAAAACTCAACATGGACATACTAAAGTTCTCCAATTAAAGAAAAAAAATCATTTCCTCTTATGAAAAGTTCAACCCACTAAGACATTCCATTTCTATATAACAAAACTCAACCTGGACAGACTAAGAATACCGAAACAATTTTCTCTTTAAAGAAACATAAAATTGAACTACAATGGGTTTTCCAAATAACAAACTCCTCTATAAAATTTAAAAATTATTTTAAAAAACATTTATTTTCTTTCTTATTACCTGATCATACCCAGAATCATCTTCCCTTTCCACAATCGACGATGCCACGGACACCGCCGACCGTGCGACGGTGGAAGCCCCGGAAGAAACAATCCTTAAGTAACTAGAAATTGCGCGCAACGAACTCCAAGCCGACTTGGAAGCGACCCCACCACCTTGCGTTTTGGTTTGCCCTTGTCCATCTCCACTATTCCTCATAATCCCAAACACCCAACAAAGAAAACCCAGAATTTAAAAAGGGCCCAGAAAAATCAAAATCTTCCCCGACAATTCCCCCAATTTCTCCTTTTAACACCAAAGGTTGTTAATTTACAAAGAAAAAACAATTGCTGGGTTTTTGGTTAAACGGAGAAATTAAGAGGAATTGATAAAAACCCAGAAAGATAAAACCTCTTAATTGAAGAGATTTACGGGTTTAAAAGTGTCTCCATTTGAAATATATAGAGAAAAAAAAAATTAACAGAAAATAAATAAAGGAAAACTAAAAAGAAACAAACTTCGAACCCAAACAAAACAAAACAAAACAAAGATGAAGAACCCAAAATTTTATCATTTTAGTAAAACTAAAGCAAGCTAAAATTTTGGAAAAGCTCTTGATTGGAATTAAACGAATACATACATATATTACACAAACAAATGAACAAGTTTTTTGGGATATGAGAAATAAATTACAATTTTCGGAACAAATTAATCAGGAAATTAAGAAAATTAGAACAAAAAAAAGACGAATGAAATTAACAAGGAATGGATTCAAGGGTTTGGATAATTATGATTTATGAAGGAATATGAAACAACCCGATGAAAAGAGAGATGAAATTATGAAGGAATTTAGGGGTGGGGGGGCCGAGATAAGAATTCCTCTTTTCCTTTCGCTTTTGGATTTCCTCTTTCTAAATGATTGATTTGATACTCAGTTAATCCTTCTCTTTACCCACTCCCTTTTATATTTTCACCCTTCGTTTGTTCTTCCCTACCCAACTCCTTTGGTGTTCCTTGTAGCCTAACTCTAATGATCAACATGAGTGCATTTTGAAATTATTGTTGAAATAGATATTTGGGGTGTTTGATAAAAAAATTTTTGAAGAGTTTTTAATTTATTTGAGTATAAATAGTTTATCGATCTCTAAACTTTTTATTTTTAGTATTTGATAAATATTTTTTTGTAATAGTTAATTGTGCAAAATAAATTGAAAATGAAAACATTAGAAAATACTACGATTTGAGGGGAAATGATTGCAAAATAAGATGTTAAATGACATATTTGACCTTATTATTTTCATAATTACATCATTGTCATAAAACATAATCTATGAAATAACTTCTATTCTTAATCCACTTGATTCTCTCATTAGAGTCTTCTCTATCGTTAAACTACAACTAAATGTAGTGTTGATATTGTATCCAACTCGAAAATTGATGGATTATAATGTCACACGGAACCACGTAAGTAGCTAATCATTTTTTTAACATTTTATCAAATGAGTAATAATATCACCCAATTGTCATACGCGTACAAAATATGAATAATTTAAATATGGGGAGCTCCCAACAAAGTTTCCAAAATATAATAATAAATCAAAATACAGAGTTTACAACTCAAATACAAAATGGTCTATGACAGTATATGCCCACTAAATACTCGAGATGTACTTTGATAGCAATCAAGTCTGGAAATCTACGATCTCGCGATGTGCTCCTCAAACTGGCACCTAAAGACCTGTGCACGGAAACACATTTCATACGTTGAGCTCACAAGCTTAGTGCCACATAAATAACCCTACTTTACTACTTGCATTCAACAAATAAGCACTCTGCAAGTATGGTCATGAACAATTGTAAACACTAGAGCAACATTATCATAGTGTAGTTCGGGGTCACTTAACCTCGCATAACTCACACTCCTCTTTACTTACTACGACAATTAAGGAAGACCAGGGTCACATAGCATCAATGTCCCCCCTAAACTTCGGGTTAAGCTCGAGTTACGAAGCGTCGGTACTTTACCTAGCTAGTTTACTCCAGATCTCTTGTATTTTCGGATTGCCTATAGATTTGCGTCTAAGCTCTGTAACCAACTTGTATTGATTTGAGCTCCAAGTTAGAAATTCTGAAATTGCTCATTTACAGTGATGAGATGAGTTTCGTAATTTGGAATTCAGAACAATAGTTATGATTAATATTTGATTCCTCGGATACAAGGAAATCTAGGATTAGAAACCTTATCATGCCAATAAATTTTAGTGAATATTTCACAAACCTATCGAAATAAAATTATTGGCCTTGATGGCCTAGGAAAGCGATCCCTATGCTGATGGAGCTCTGGCAGTTGTCACTGCCCTTTCCCCCCACCCCTATAATCAAGGTATATTCTCAAACCTAAGGTATATCCTGTTTGGTTCTTTTTCTCTTATGGAATAATTGGATTTTTATTGAAAACTTCAGCTCTTGTTTTTGATACTGAAACTGAATACTTCACAGATAAAAGGGAAAATGCCTTCGCAGAAGATTGAAACCGGCCACCAGGACACGGTTCATGATGTGGCCATGGATTTTTATGGTAAGCGTATTGCTACCGCCTCATCAGACAGCACGATTAAGATAGTTGGGGTGAGCAACAATACACATCAGCATTTAGCAACTCTGACAGGTCACCAAGGACCAGTATAGCAGGTGGATTGAGCCCATCCAAAGTTTGGCTCTTTACTTGCTTCTTCTTGTTATGATGGCCGTGTGATTATTTGGAAGGAAGGCAATCAAAATGAATGGAGTCAGGCTCATGAGTTTGATGAGCATAAGTCATCTGTTAATTCAATCGCTTGGGCCCCTCTTGAATTGGGACTTTTGTTTGGCGTGTGGTTCTTCCGATGGAAATGTATCGGTTTTCACATCTAGAGCAGATGGAGGCTGGGATGTATCAAGGATCGATCAGGCTCACCCGGTTGGTGTAACATCTGTTTCATGGGATCCATCGACGGCACCTGGTGCTCTAGTTGGTTCTGGCTTGCTGGATCCTGTTCAGAAACTTTGCTCTGGTGGATGTGATAACACTGTAAAGGTGTGGAAGCTCTACAATGGAATCTGGAAGATGGACTGCTTTCCAGCTCTTCAAATGCCTACTGCGACCAACCAAATCCAAGAAAAGGATAAAATCAATGGTAAATTATACCAATGGTCACTAATGTTTAAATGAGTATTTTTTTACTGAAGTTTTAATATTAATAAATTGATCATTAACATCATCGATTTATAACAAATTAGTTACCGATGTTATCGGTTTGTAACAAATTGATCATTCGACATTAATGATCATTAATTAGTACCAAATTAACTAATTGATTTAACATGTGATAAAGAACAAGTCAGATCATTAATTTAATATGTCACATCAATATTATGTTACTAAAGTCAAGGATCATTAATGTCGAATGATCAAATTGATACTAATTGATAATATTGACTAATTGATTGTAGGAATTATCTTTAGATAGAAAGTAACTGTCTTAGTTAAAGGTGTGTATTCGATGGAGTCGAGTCGAGTAAAATTTTTTTTGAGTTATTCAAGTTGACAACTCCTATTTTATAACTCGGAGTTGACTTGGAATTTTTTTGACTCGAGTCGAGTCAAATTTTTTAGTTTTTATTTGAATTTAATTATAAATATTAACAATATTATGACATTATTTGATTCCAATTTAAATGATATTTTATATCATATAAGATACATATATATATATTTTGTATTTTTTGCATATGTAATTTACATATACTACAAAGTCGAGAGACTCGACTCAAACTTCTGCTCAGACTTGAAAATCAATCCATTAATTACTAAAAATTTTGAGTTATATTTTACAACTCGATTTGAACTTTAAGTTTTTTCGAGTTGAGTTTATGAAAATTACAACTCGAAGTTAATATGAGTCGAGTTTTTTCAAATCGAGTCGAGTCAAAAAAATCAATTTTTTAATTGATCTACATCTCTGAGTTAGGCTCTTTCTGTTAACCAAGTTTCATGTCTGAGCTCGACATCCAGATTCCCACTGCCTTTGGTAAGCATTTCCCTTCTTACTGATTAAATCGGATCCTCCATGGAAATTCTAACTCGTATGCTATCCGGTTTTGCTAGATCCGTTTGCTGATGCAAATGCCGAGGACTCTGGTGTTGGAGGCAAGGAGTACGTCCACATTCGTATCCAACAGCGGAATGGTAGGAAAGCTTGACTACTGCCCAGGGGTTGAAGACAGACTTCAGCTGTAAAAAAATTCTCAAGGACCTCAAGAAGGAGTTCTGTTGCAATGGCACTGTTGTCCAGTATCCCGAGCTAGGTCAGGTGTTGTGTTTAATGCAACTACAGACACAACAGATGTTATTGCAGTTATTGCGAGTAATACTGTTGCACAATAATGGCTTAAGACATGATGTTACTGTTATATAACAGCCATTATTCCGATATCTGATCTTATTTAAATCCCTACATCCCAGCACCCCACGATCTATTCCTGTCATCCTGTGTCTAACCTTTTTATAAAGTGACCTTTGCCACCACTTTGTTCTTCCTTCTCAAGTCTTTTATGCACTTGGTTTATGTGTAGGTTATTCAACTTCAAGGTGATGAACGTCTCCACTTTTCTTGTTCAGGTTATTGTCACTGTGCTCTGGTTTATATACATCCTTAAAACTGACATGTGTAGAAGGACAACATGAAGATCCATGGTTTTTAAGTTGCAGCTCCCAAGTTTTCTGCTGAAAATCTTACCTACTGATGAACTTATTTACTGTATATCATTCTACTATGTTTATCTGATTCTCTCTCTATGTTGTTGGACCTGATGTACTGAACCATATTTGCTGTGTTGTCTACTCGTGCCTAGTGTGATGTTGAATGACAATGGAACTGTTATTTCTTCTGTTTCTCGATTGCTTTCACTACTGATTTTGTGCCCATTCCTGTCAGGGTTGCACCTATGTATGGGTACGGTTGGGTTGTGGTTTTAAGTATTACCAACTGTTATTTGTTATGATTTAAATTTAGGAAGACTATCATATTCGAAATCTGATTCGATTTTAAGTAAAAACATGCATCTGAACAAGGGATGGACACGGGACCTAAACCCGACGAGTTCCAACTTGACCCTATTGAATTGAGTTTTTTTTTTTGAAAAAATCAAGTTCAGGTTGGTTAGATCATGTTCAAGTTTAAGGAAAAAATCCGACTTGATCTAATTTGAAAAATAATGCAATTATAATTTATATATCTAAGGATAATTACAGTAATACCTCTTTATATATTATTTTTAATTAGATCCTTATTTTTATCGAATAGAATTAATATTTTTTTATAAATATATTTGTTTCGAGTCGGATCAAATTAAAGTTTTATCTCAAAAAGACAGATCGGGTTGGATTGAGTGAAGTCACCATAAATTCATGTTGGGTTGAGTTTAGGGTAGAGAGTATATATTTTTTAGTTTATGTCGAATTTAGGGTGAAAGATATATATTTTTCATATCGGGTCGTATTGGTCAAAAAGCTGACCCAACTCGATCCGTACCCATCCCTCGTCCGAACTAACATGATATACATAATTATATATGTGATTCATTTTTATTAAATAAAATATAAATCTAATTTAAGAAAATATAAAGAAATGATATTATTAACAGTTATCTTTAAATATTTATTGTTATTTTGGACTCGGATCAAGTATTTTTACTGTAAATTCAAATTTGACGCAACTTAATTTTATACCTAAAAAGAATTTATCTAATATTCAAATTGAATTCAAATTTTTAAAAAAAATATATTTATAAAATCAAATTAAAATTTATCAAATTCAATTCGGATGCTACCTCTTAAAGATTGTTCCACGTGCCTAGGACAACGTCCACGACTACCCTTTCTTAAGATTGTTCCACAAGTTACCAAACGTCGTCGTTTTAAAATCGCCACGTGTCCTTTTTCGATCCCTATAAATCTTTATCTCGCGAGTGTGAATGCCATCATCGTTAGTGCTCACCTCTATTAGCGTATACGACCTTCGAAAATCCCCAAATCGAGAACTTTCTCCGTTCCTTAGGGTTTTCTTATTTAATTTTGCTAATAATCCCAGTTTCAGTTCTCTGAAAGGAGCTCTAAAAACCTCGGATCAGGTAATTTTTCTCTTTAGGTTCTCTAATTTCGGGTTAAAGATTAACGTTTTAGCATCATCTAATTGATTATAGCCTTTTTCTTACCGTGATTTGTCTATATCGTCAAGATTTCCTTTGGTTTCTTTAATTTCTGTGCTAATTGTTCATGATTACAAATTAAGAATCGTTTTTGCTTCTATAAAGGAACAACGTTTAGCATCCAAGGTTACCCTCCCCCCTTTCTTCTGGATCTTCGTTGTTAATTTTTTAGATATTTGGATTATATTGAAAATTTTAGACTTCATATCTTAATTGATTCACACAATGTGCTACTTAGATTAATTATAATGGTTTTTGGAATGAAATTGGAGCTAATTGTTTATCACTTATTCCATAATGCATAATCTAAAGCGCTTTGGAGTTTTTATTTATTTAATTGTTTTGTTTTCTTTGAGGAAGTTAAATATTGATAGGGAATTAGAACCGTAGGATTTAATATATGGCTAGTCTGGGTTATTGGCTTATTGCTAACAAGTTTGAATAATGATTGTTTTTGCGTTGGCTTATGGTTTTGATTTTACAATGATTATGTATAGTTTCAATCTACCTGTTGAGGGGCTTTTAAGGTTTTTGTTTGTTCTTTTCAACCTATTGATTGAAAAAATTGAGAATCTTACTTTGGATTAGTTGCCATCATAGAATTTAGAGGCTTCCTAATTCTCTTTTATATCAAGTCGTATCTGATGTTGGTATTGAGTTTCATGTTTAGGTCCCAGCTTGTGGTTCTTAAGCCTCCTTTGATCAACTAAGTTTCATGTCTGATCTCGACGTCCAGATCCCAACCGCCTTTGGTATGCTCTTATCCTAACTACCTGAGCTTTGCTATTTATCGTAATTGTTGATGTCTGTTATTAGTTTTGGGTTTAATTTGGGGTGTTCTAATATTGTGCTAGACCCCTTTGCTGATGCAAATGCTGATGACTCGGGTGCCGGTGCAAAGGAGTATGTGCACATTCGTATTCAGCAAAGGAACGGCAGGAAAAGCTTGACAACCGTCCAGGGATTGAAGAAAGAATTCAGCTACAACAAGATACTCAAAGACCTCAAGAAGGAGTTTTGCTGCAATGGTACTGTGGTCCAAGACCCTGAATTAGGACAGGTATGTGTATAACTCCTTTAGATATTGTTAACATTGTTGATATCCTTTATCGGATGGTGGTTAAGTTTGTTATGTTGTTGTTTATGTGTAGGTTATTCAACTTCAAGGTGACCAGCGCAAGAATGTCTCCACCTTCCTTGTTCAGGTTATTGTTCTTTTGCGTCTTTTGAATACGTAGATGTCTAAAGAACCAATGCAATTTGGTGTTCGAGTTCCTAATCTTCATTGCATTTCTTTTTCGATCAGGCCGGCATTGTGAAGAAGGACAACATCAAAATTCACGGTTTCTAAGTCGTTGCTACTTATAGTTTTCTTCTAATCTGCACGGGCCTTGTGTCGAAGCAGGGAACATGTCCCCGATTATAGTATAGTCTATACTGCTGTGTCCTTTCTATGTTGGTTTGATAACAACTTATGCATCGCTTACTTATTGCGTGTTTCAGTTCATTGGATGATTATGAAATGTATGCAAGCTTGTTTCTTTATGACTCAAATGTTAAAACTAGTGGTCTTTTTGTTATCCGATTATTTTCTCCTTTTAGTTTGGTTTTAATTTCATTTTTTTAATTAACAATTGGTATGATTTATTAATCCAGATCGAGTTTTGTAAAAATTCATATTGGGACGATCGTCCAACCTAGTTTACTCTATTTTGCAATGGTCATGTTTAGAATTTATTTCACTAAATTAATTGGTTGTTGGTAGGTTTAATTGAAGAAGCTTCAAATTTCTTTGGAGATGACCCAATTATTGATCTCTTTAATATTTTTAATAATCGTGTTTAATTTATTGAATAGTTTAATAACATTCTATTAATAGATGAATGTGATTATGAATTAAGTACAGAAAAACTGAAAATATAGACAAATTATTATCTTTAAGTTGGAACTCTTCCAATGACTGGCCCCCACAACGGTCGAGCTTCCAATGACTGGCTCCCACAACGGTCGAGCATTATGCTTTGCTCCTAGGGTGCGTTGGTTCACGGAATATAAGATTACATGTGAGAATGTAAGATTACATGTGAGAATGTAAGATTATCTGTGAGAATGTAAGATTATTAGGAATATTGTATTTTGTGTTTAGTTGATTTAGCAAAAATGTAAGATTATCGTGTTTGGTTAAAGGAATAAAAGATTATTGAAATGTATATTTGACCAAATTATCTTTATTATATATTTGTTTTTTAACAAGTTGAAAAATATTTATATATTTTTTTAAAAAATTATAAATTCATAAAATTTATATAATTTTTTACAAAATTGAAAATATAAAAGATTAATGAAAGGGTAAAATTTTATTTTAACCCCTAAATTTCATATAAAATTTTAATTATAGACATTTTTTGTAAATCTAAAATAGTTTAAGGATAAATTTGTAATTTAACCTTTGTAGAATTTTTATTATTCAATAACAGAAGAAGGATATTTTTGAAAGAAAAAAAAATTAAAGGCATTTTAGTCCAAAACGTCGGTAATCCAACAATACCTAAATAAAGGAAGGTAATGACATTCCTGGTAATATATCCCAAAAAATCCACTATTGATAATCTTACATTACCGGAAATAAGATTCTCGAGCTAACCAAACGGGGAATGTGAATTCCATTATCATGTGAATCTCACATTCCCCCATCCAAACACCCTAAGGGTAGCCTAAATATTCTGTCGGTGAATTACCATCCAAGCATCCAATTACGGCCGCCCAATTGTCTATAAATGAGTGATCTTCCACTCTTCCCCCACCGCATCAATAACTTCATTCGCAATAAGCGAGCAATCAAGAATTTACCGTCCTGGAATGAAAGCAAACTGAGAATTGCTTACCACCGAACCCAACACAAGTCTCAAACGGTTGGCCAACACCTTGCTCGGTAATTTATAAATCCCTTCTACAAGACTGATGGGTTTGTAATCATCCAACGACGACGGATTCAACTTGCCACAGTTGTAAAAATCTTACAAAAAATTGCAACACAACATCCTTTGAATCTGACCTGAACTTCTTTAAAAAATTAAGGTTAAAATCGTCGGGTCCTAGGGCTCGGTTCCTATCAGAATTCTTAAGAACTTGGAAAATTTCCTGTTCGAAAAACATGACTCTCCAGTGCTCTTGATCCGAGCTTACCTCCAAAGTGAATTTAGCAATGTAAGCCTCTTGGAAGTGCTACTGTATAGCTTGTTTAAATAAGACAAAATCAATCTTGAGAAAATAAATAAAAATAAATAAACTTTTTAGATGATAAGATAAAAATAAATGGAAATAAAATATTTTTTTTTATTTTGATTTATCAATCGGAATCAGTTGAGGCTTGTTGTTGCACAATTTCCTTAAGACAGATTTTCGATCACTCCTTTGGTGCTCGAGTTCTGCTCGAGTTCATTGGTCATATGTCTCCCAGGATACAACAACTAATGATCACTTACAGTAGCACATCTATACAGATCACGAACAATCCCTGCCTTCAACTATCACCGAAAAATCTGAAGAAGAGAATTTTTTCAAGATAAGAGAAATTCTTGAAAAATTGAGTTGTGAGGTATTTTGAGATGTTTTAACTTGTGTTTAACCGAACAAATTAACTCACTATTTATAAGGTATTTTCAAGAGATATTTAATCTAACTAAATATATTTTAATATTCAACATTAAACCGATAATAATATATTTTAATTTGAAATATTCAAATGATAAAATTTCTTTTACCATTTAAACTTAAATACGTATTATTTTAATTTGAAATATACAAAAATATATAATTTTCTTTAATATTCAAAGTTAGAAAGATAACAAATATCTTTTTAAATAAATTAATTATCCTACTAATATTTAAATTAAGTAATATATTTAATTTACAATGGTAAAAGTTATTCAGAAAAAGAAGAACGCGAAGAACATGTTGAGAGAACTTTGTTTTTGAAGTTTGGCCTTTATACTGACCCAGTGACCTGTTCGGAGCCCCCAAGAACCGCGCGTTTTTAATGTGTAGGATCAAATTACGTTCTCAGTCCCTTCATCTTTTTTTGAAAATTCATTTCAGTCCTTTACTGTGTTATTTATGCGGTTTCATTTGATCTGAAGTATTCATTGACGATATATGCACTTAGATTCTTGCTGCTCCTGGCGGCGTAATTAGAGAACATGCAGGTCTTTGGCTGGTTGGTTTTTCTCTCAATATAGGGGTATGTTCCGTCATCGAGTCTGAGTCGTGGGTTGCATATGCTGGTTTGAATCGGGCTCGGGAGCTGGGACTTGGCCGAATCATGCTTGAGATGGACAGCAAAGAGGCAGTTAGGATGATACTATTGCCGACCACTGTGCCATACTTCATGGTGTTTGAAGATTATTAGCAAGAGAGTGGGAAGTCCGAATCACCCATGTTTTTCAAGAAGGGAATAGGACGGCTGATGCTATTACAGAGCTGGCTTTCCACATTCCAATTAGCAGCTACATCCTCTGGCAACCTCCGGAGTCCAGATGAAACACTGACCACGGTGCATGATGATTTAGAGGGTGTTGCTGTGCCGAGGATGATCAAATTGCTCGAATCAGGAATACGATGAGCCCGAGTTCTGAACCAGTGAGTCTAGAAATGGTGTTAAGGTGAACCATTGAGTTGCTGTGCCCTTCTCGAGTCGGGATCCTGGTTTTGTCCCCGACTACGCATAATGTCATACGGATAAAAAATGAAAATATCGAGTAAAACATAAAATATAAGCACAAAAAACTGGTTTTCATTAACCTATAGGTTAATACAACAAATGAATGAAATGGTAAACAGTGTTTTAGTATACAATTAATTTGGAAGATTGGTATCACCATATACAACTATCAGCTAACCCAGGATTCTTCGGCCTCAGCCTCGCCCTGCAAGATTTATTTGTCTGTATGTATATGTTAATTGTAATCTTCCAAAACAAGTTACTCTCATTATTACTTTCTTGACCGGGAAGCAAACATCGCCGTCGACTTTACCTCGCGGGCTATGTCGTATTAGCCTGTTCATCACGACATCGACATCGGAATTAAAATCAGGACATGGTAAAATCGATTGATCCCGTGAGAACAGAAGTTAAACCATACCGTTTACTTTTTTCAGATATTTCTTATGGAGTTTGATTGCCTCGTTACAAGCTTTCTTGGCATCCAAGCTTCCGGTTATGTCATTCAAAATCTGGTACGCATTCGAACACGGTTATAAGAATTCGATTCTGTGTATAGAATGTTTCCGTATTCGGAACTCACCTTAACAACATCGTCGAGGCCCCGAGCTTCGTGGAGTAGCTTGGTGCTCTTATCTTTCAAGACACTTGCAACAAGGAAAACAGAAATCGGGAGGGGAGCTTCCTCGCTTTTTATTTTCATGTTTTCTCTCTCGAACTTCCCGTAATGACGCATCGATCTTGATCTCATTTTAGCTTCCTCCATACTTAATGTTGGTTCTTCATATAGGTAGAACAAATCCGGATCGTATTCTAGAGCCCACATCATCTGTTCCAATTCAATCCAAACTAAATTTATGAGTAAAAAACGCCCGGGTTATGCTAACCTCATGCTCGGCTATTCGATATGTGTTCGGACATCAGTATCGTACCTCCCACAGATACAGCGAATCACAAAATGAGAACTCTCGACGAAACAAAACCATTAGCATTCGAACAGCAAACAGATAGTCACCCCCACCCAGTGTCTCTGTAAAGCAAATATGAGAAGATCAGCAAAATATGTTTGGCATCCGGATACTCCTACCCGAGTTCGAGTAACGTAACAATGTAGAACACTAGAGAATGAATCGATATAACTTCCGTTTCGTACCTAAGTGCTGATGAAGTTTCGGATCGATTACTTGAGTTACCATAGCCAAATGACTAAGCTGTGACTCTACCCCAACAGAGCTTTCAGTGCATTTGAAGTTCCCCCTCTGTAAGAAGTGAAATAAACACGTACAAAAAGAAACAGACACGGACAACGGTAAAATCGAAAGAATCGGAAAACACATGCAACGATGAGTACCCGTATCCATCACATATTCAAACATACATATGCCAGATACATACCAATCTGCGCATCAGTCGTTCGAAGCACCAAAATGCATCGGCTTCGTTTTTTAGAAGAATTATCATGGGGGAGCATATATCACTCATCCCTGGTCAACATTGTTTATGAAGCAATCAAACAGTCCATAAAACTATATAATCATCACTTCCCAAACAAAAAAACTCGACGAAATTCGATACTTACCTTGACAATATCCAACATCTGTATCGATCCAGGCATAAACAACGAGAATATCCCAAAGTTTCGCTAAATTCTCTTGCTTTTCATAGAATATTAAACTCCTGTCGGTTCGTTTAACGTCAAGACCTAATGAAACAAGATCCTCATTAGATACATATCCGTTTTCGACATTCATCCCGAGTTGAATTAACGAATCATCGGGATACCTATTTGATGTAATAAGAGCAGCCAGTTGATTATTCTCTTATCCAAAGGACCATTACTGATTAGATCATTCACAATTTCTGTACTATTAGGAGTTGCTGCTTCAGCTGAATGATAATTAATCACACATTAGTAACTGGTTTATTTCATTTTCAACAAAAACAAATTATGTTAGACCAGTAACTGGCCTGCATTATGTGCCTCTTGAAGCACTAGAGGTTCTTCAATCGGCTGACCGTCTTCGGTTATTACAGGCGCGGTAATAAATTCACCACTTCCGACAACCGGAAAGATTTCGTGACATACAATCTTCCATTTTTCATATTGCTCCCTGAGATATACATGCGACTCGAGTTTAAGTCTCGACTTGTATGTCGTTACAGATACTTATAATTCTCCGATATAAGATCGGTTGCCGGTAAGAGAGCTAACCTTCGTTCCTCCCGGAGCTGCTCCCTTTCTTCGTATGTACTCCTCGGATCGAAACAGCCTAGTAGGAACTCCCAGACTTCTCCTCTAATTGTTGGATGGATCCCCTATGAATATATGCATTTAAACAAACATAAACAGAACATATATATATATATTATTGATGCATTTGATTTTGCAGGTAATTGGTCACCGAATTCAACACAATATAAGAGCTTTAGAGTTCGAATCTCGACGACGACCGATACGAGCACTCACCCCACGGTGGATTCGACCTAGTGTTTGGCCGATATCCAGCTGCCCGTCCGGAGAAAATGCAGCTTTCCATTTCCTTACACTTAGAGTTTTACCAGGCTGCACAAGCAAAATAAAAATGAAATCTCCATTTTGTTGAATCAAAGCACCATTATTGTCATATATATGCATATATTCAAGATCGAATCTCAAAATCAGAAGAACCCCGTCACATCAAAACATGCTTCATTTCCAGCATTGTCTTAACCATTGATCCAAGTTTTCGTTTATATATACATATACATATATATATGTGTGTGTATGTATGAATTTGAATGAAGACAAACCCTGATCTTGAATTTGGTTCCAGGCACATCGGTGCATTCAGGCCGGACCTCATAATAAGAATCCGCAGGTTCTGCAGGAGCCCCCCACATTTACCAACAAACTTCCCTTTATGAACCCAGAAAAGGAAAATCTTTGCTCTTGTTTTGAGCAGCAAACAGCACCAAAAAGCTGGAGCTTTCAATGAGAAATCAAAGGAAAATGTAGGGGAAAACTTAGAAAGCTCAGCCAAGATATTCAAAACAGCAAATAAAAGGAGAGGAGGAGAGTATATGTTGCTTTGGGGTTTCTTTTTATTTCAGGGAAAAAAACTATTTTTTTATTCTTTTCTGGTTAATTATGGTTTTTTTTTTCTGCCATTGTTGTATCTCACAAAACATAAGGGGACGTGACAGAGACAAATGGTAAACAAACAATCAGCCGTTTTATTCGTTAATTTCACTGGCTTTGCTGCTCCTGTCTGTCTTCCAACTCTTTTATCTAAATTTAACAGCAATGGCATAATTTGACAAAGACAAAGAAGATTCGGTAAATTACATGTTTAGTACTTAAATTATTAGTTTTGATTTATTTTAGTACCTAAACTTAATTATTTTTTATTTTTCATTCATTAAATTTTTCATCATCATCATTCATTGTCTAAATTTTTCATTATTTTTTACCAATTTGTCAGCTTGGAATAAAGCAAGGGTCTTAAATAAGAGTCCAGTATACTTAATTCTCTTTATTCATCACATCTCAATGAAGATAAATATAATTATAAAATTATAAATCGTTATATCTATCATCACAACAAATATAATTATGTAATTATGACATATTTAAATAATTATCGTAACTTATACAACAACAACAACAAAACCCAATTCTCATATGTATGGGGTAAGGGGGAGGTAGGGTAGTAGGCTACCCCCAACGCCAGGTTGAGAGTAACTTCCGTGGAAGACCTCCGACAGTCAGAAAATTAAAAATTTAGATAAAATGCAATGCATGTATAAATAAATACATAAATACATAGCTAAACAGTATTCATATGCAGTCATTAAAATCATATGTGCGTCTGTAACGGGAATTAATCCCTGCATAATAATCCCTGCGAAAGAATCTCTGCATATAGACATAAACATAAGATAAGATCCGGCTAAATTTAAAAGAGGAAACATGAAGAGAATGATACACAGAAGTCAACGTTAGCAAGTCCAGTCATTAAATTATCGTAACTTATAAATATCATTAAATTAAGTGCGATCGAAAATGAATCCATCAAATAATAGTCTGACTAGGGGGAGTATAGTTCTTCCCGAAAGTTATGAGTTCGAAAGCTACGTCTACAAAGTGTGTTTCAATAGTTAAGAAAGACTATAAACAATTATTATATTTTTGGTGAAAAGGAGATCTCTGTTAGGGATGGACATGGGTCAGGTTGGGTCGGGTTTCTGGTCCATCCGACCAGACCCGAGAACAAGGAGCCCTCCACCTGAGATCTTACCCGACCAAAACAAGTTTTCATCCGACCCGAACCCGACCAGACATATAAGTTAAAAAACCGACCCGACCTGACCCGATATTTTTATTCAATAAAAACAGTGACTTAATTGAAAAAAATAATATATAGAGGGGTATTATTGTAATTATTTCTAAATATTTAAGGTAAAATTATATATTTTTCGGGTCGAGTTAGGTATTTTTCACACTAAACTCGAACCCGACCCGAACATCACATTAAAAATCTCGATCCGAACCGACTCGAACTCGGATTTTTTTTTTAAAAAAATACAACTTGATCGGGCCGAGTCGAAACTCATCGAGTTCGGATCCCATACTCATCCCTAATCACTGCACGCCTCATTAAAGAACCCTTAAACCTAATCGGAGGAAAAGAATACACGGAAGAAACCCAAACAAATATACTTTAACCAACAATCGAAGAAGGGAGATCACCAACATTAGCCAATTTAACTAATCCATCCATGACTAAGTTACCCTCTCTCGCAACGTATTCAGTTTTCACCACCCATGCTCGTTATTCTATGATAGCGAATAACATCCGTAAATATCGACTGAAACATTTATGTTTCATTGTTTTTGATCTTTAATTCGTGGACTTCGAAACAAGTTTCGATAAAATGAAGGTATGATTCGTACTCAGAGTTCTAGGTGAAGCAACTCATGAAATGTGAGATCGAATGACCATTATCTACTACGGTTGACCAACTTCTATCTTTATTTTATATTTTGAATCATTTTTATATTAAATAATAATAAAAATATCAACTCATATAAAAATATTAATAAAATCATTTAAAATAAAAGGAATGCGAAAGTTGGGTGAATAAATTAAATAATTTAAAAGTACAATAAGTGAAATAGGAGAGAGAATAAAATTAAACTAAGAATGATAATTGTAAAATGGAGGACTTTTTCAAGAGAAATGAAACCTTCAATTGACAAAGAAAAACTTTAGGATTTAGACTTTGATTTAAATAGCTTAAGAAAGTTTCTCCATAGCTTAATTTTTCAAAGTTTTCACCGCCTTGTTATTCTCTCTAAACTCCAAGTAAGAACTTTCCATAAAATCCTCTTTCCTTTCCATTTTACCTTTGGTATTTTCTCCTTATAAATAGGAACGTAGTAGCTTGAAGTTTGTAAATTCATTGTTTTTTTTCTGGTGAAAGAAAAAGGGAAGAAAAAAAAGTTGGGTTTACAGGTATTTTTAATTTGATTTCAGAGTTTCTATCTTTGTTTGTCGTTTCTTGATCTTAAAAACTTTAAAGTTCAAGTTTTTAGCAAATTCCCAGCTTTAATTTGATCAGAAATTTCGAGAAACAAAATGAGTTTCGGCATCAAGCAATCAGCTTTAACCATGGATGTTTCCAGCTCAGTTGTTCACAAAAGAACTCCTTCCGTTAGATCTTCGTTTTCACCATCTTTAAACCTTCAAAACAACACCAACAAAAGAGCCATTATTTCAGTGTCAAAGCCTTTGCACATCTCATCCATCGAGAGTTGTTGTTTTCATAAGGAGAAAACACCGGCGATCCATTACAAGGCGTATGAAGCTGACAAGTCACCGTCGGCGGCGGTGGGGGCCGAAGGTAAATCGGAAACCGCCCAGAGAGTGAAAATTGGGATTTATTTTGCAACTTGGTGGGCTTTGAATGTGGTTTTCAATATCTACAACAAGAAGGTTTTGAATGTTTATCCTTTCCCTTGGTTAACTTCAACTCTGTCCCTTGCCTGTGGTTCTTTGATGATGTTGGTTTCTTGGGCCACAAGGATTGCCGAGCCCCCGAAAATCGATATTGAGTTCTGGAAGGCTATGTTTCCGGTGAGATTTTCCCACTTTTTGTTGTTTGGTTGGTGAGAAAGTGAAAGAAAATCATAGGAATTCATATCATATCAAATATTCTGTGATTCAGTTTTCTGGTGTATGTTCTTGTTTCTGAGAAATTAAGATGTCAAATTCTAATGTATGTTCTTTTGGTTTCATTTTTCCTAGGTTGCTGCGGCACATACCATTGGACATGTTGCAGCTACTGTGAGCATGTCTAAGGTTGCAATTTCATTCACTCACATCATTAAAAGCAGTGAACCGGCGTTCAGTGTCATTGTCTCGAGGTTCTTGCTCGGCGAGACCTTCCCTCCGGCGGTTTACCTGTCCCTTCTTCCTATCATCGGCGGTTGCGGTCTTGCTGCCTTAACCGAACTCAACTTCAATATGACCGGTAAAGAACATTAGTTACCATGGTGTCTTGTTTATGATGCTTGAAGATCCTTACTTGGGTTGAGCTTGTACTTTTACTCGATTTGTTTTTGAGGTTATGGCCAGCCGGAGTGGTGAACTCGGTGGTTCTTCGTCGTGTATTTTCAGGTTTTATGGGAGCTATGATATCAAACTTGGCGTTCGTCTTCCGTAACATATTCTCGAAGAAGGGCATGAAGGGGAATGCTGTTAGTGGGATGAATTACTACGCCTGTTTGTGTATGCTGTCGCTTGTAATTCTCACACCTTTCGCAATCGCCGTGGAGGGACCGCACATGTGGGCAGCAGGATGGAAAGAGGCCGTATCTCTAATCGGACCACAGTTCATCTGGTAATAACATAACCGTACTAAGTCGTAATTATCGTGTAGATTTATTTGTTGGACTTTGGTGGATACTATGAAGGTATTCGATGAACTTTTCAGAATTTCTCTTGCTGGTAAGGTTTAGAATTAAAGGATTTTAGAGGCCCCATTGCCTATGTGACAGAAAAAACATATTGGGAGTATTCAAGTTGTTGAATTCTGGTTCATGATGTCAATTCGTATTGCTTATTGATTCTGTTCGATCGATGTTTACTGAACTGTTCGTGGTTACTTTTTGAGTTCGATTAACGATCCAGACAGGGACTCGTAACATGAGCATTAGATGATATCGGTGTTATCTTTATTCCGTGCCGGTTTCGGTACTCTTTTGGATCTAATCGTAACGGTATGTGCTAACAAACATTGTCGATTATATTCATATTTGGTAGGTGGGTGGCTGCCCAGAGTATTTTCTATCATCTATACAACCAGGTCTCATACATGTCCCTCGATCAGATCTCTCCCTTGACGTTTAGCATCGGCAACACCATGAAACGTATATCGGTTATAGTCTCGTCGATCATCATCTTCCACACGCCTGTCCAGCCGATCAATGCTCTCGGAGCAGCCATTGCTATCCTAGGAACCTTCTTGTATTCCCGGGTGAGTGATTGTCGTAAATTATGAACGACGATGCATTCTCGTTACATTGCATGCCTGTTCATGCCTTTGATGGAGATACTTTCGACATGTTCCGTATTTCTTTCTTAAATCATTCAAAAATATGCTCGGTCTTCGATCATTTCACTGTCCCAATCTCATAAGCTCTCTCTTTTGCAGGCAAAAGCATGAGAGAATACATGGGTTTAAAGAATTTCGATTCATCGAATAACATAAACGAAAGAGATAGCTCTGAAGAGATCGTAGTTCACTGTCTTCGGCGAACCATGATGGCCGGATTTCGGTAGAAAAGGATGCCGGCAGGCGGCTTATCATTATGTTAAGGGATTAGGCAGGTTTTTTTTTTTTGCTTTGTTTTTCTAATTCAGGCTTGATGGAAACATGTTCCAGCAGACATGAATAAACAGAGCCAATACAATATAATATTCTTTTAAGATTGAGCTGCCATTGATGCTTAGCTTATGGTAGACATCGAAAATCTGCTGTCGATATATATAAACGACCCGACTGCAATCGCAATTCGAAACGCCTTTACCAATTAAAAAACGTATCAGGGTTAAAGCAAATGGAGCCAAGACTTTTGTGTCATGATGTTCCTCGATGCTCTTGTGTGATGACCTTCTTGTTAGTGTCTCATCCGATATGCAACACGAAAAACAGTTCATTTCGGTCTTCCTTGCAAAGGAAGACATCCCAAATTCATGAACAAAATGTCTGATACATATGCTCAAGAATGAAGGAAAATCAACAGCTGATCTATGGGAAACGGGAAACCTACCTCCACCCGGAAGCAACCGAATCGTAGTTGGTCCCTTGTGAGGGAACGAGGAACAATGTCTCATGATGTTTTGTTTTCTTCATCTCTGTCCGAACTCCATTGAATCAGATAGCCCAAAATAACTTAAATCACATCTGCTAAACACAGAAACTAACAGATAATTTTCACATTTGTTGACAACTTTTCTCGTTGTCATAAAATTCTTCAAGTCAAAATGGTCATACAGTGTTTGTTTTTCATTGTCTATTGCAATATAAGCTTCACATTTCTGATCAGACACTATCTGGTGTCACAAAAAAACCTTAATTCTAACTATTTTTCTGCAATGTCTATTCTGGGATCGGATACTTACAAGAGAACGTTGTAAAGAAGTAATGCGCCGATATATGATGCTGCAAGAACGTTAGATCTAATGACTCTATAGCATATGTGCGCATAAAACCAGTTTTGTTGTAAAAGTCTTCACTTCTTCAGCTTAGCGAACCCTTTTTCAAGCCTGCAAATCCGAGTTTCGTGCTCAAGACTAAGGGTGAAAAGATCAGTAGTGTCAACGCCTTTGTCCATCTTTGATATCTGGTTTGCTCTTGACATCATCTGTGACCAATCCTTTTGATTCTTCGATTGAATTTGCATTCTTTGTGACATCGGCGTATTGTCCAAGGTTTGGTCACAGATGATTTCACTGTCCCAAATCTCATAAGCTCTCTCTTTGTGACATTGACCGACCGATAAACGTTTACAGATATTGTCCAAGGTTTTGTACTTTTTAGCTTCATCAGAACTTTCTGCGTCAACTGCGTATTGTTTCGTATTTGCTTTCATCTCTGCAAGTGCTTCAACTTCATTAGTTGAGCATGGTTGCCTTTGAGCACCTACGGGAGACTCACTCGCACCACTTGTTACCATGTTTTCACTGTTATGCTAAGCACAAATCAACAATTCTCTTATCGTTAAATCGATCTTCCACGTCGGCATCCGGAACAGAATCCCCTGCTTCCACCTCTTCATCTTCCTTTTCCTTGCTCGAATTTCCTTTGCAAACCTTTTCCCTTCCTGAAACATCATGTTTCTTCGATTCCTAGGCACCTTAAGAAATGGCTTGATAGCATCACGATGAGCCACCACTGATTGCTTCCACCAATGCCGGTACTGTGAAGTAACATCCGATTCGAAAAGCCTTGGCGGTACATACAACGCTGCATCTCGAATCAGTCTGCTGTAATTTCTCTAAGCAATATCAGTGTTTTCATTGCATCTAGCAAAACATCCAGGAAGATCTTGATCCATTCCGAACTGCATCGAAACCCGATGTGGGAGATACTGCTCTATGCTGCCTAGTCCAACAAGCTCACTGCCCCTCAAACATCTAGCAAACGAATGAATCTCGTCGTCTAAACAAACACGAGAATCGATCAACACATGTTGTTCCTCATCACCATAAAACTTTGACAAAGGCCAACCATCAATTGACATAACATAGGGCCGCCATTGAAAACTTCCTCCTGCAGACTCCATAGCTAGCTTCACATCAGGAACATTCACCTTAAGCCTGTTCCATCTCGCTACCCTCGGCTCACCACGCGAGATCGAATTAGGCCTCGGACGCAACCCTGGAAACCTATCCCAAACCCAAACCTGCACTAACTGAAAGTGTGAATAAAGATTAACCAACCCATTACCTTTGCGCCACAATCGAGCCACAGAATCAATCCTTCAACAGATTCAAGTCCCTATATAAACTAGACAAAACAGCCGGTGCAAGAGCAACTCGGTGAAATATTATAACAATTATATATACAACTCAATAAAAATAATAAAAAGATGTATTTCCAATCAAAATAAATGGTAAAACTAAACTTTAATTATATTAATATAACTCAATGAAAATATATTAATTAATTTAATTATATAAAGTTATAAAACATTAATATAACTTTTAAATATAAAACTAAACTTTTCTATTTCGGCCCAACTCAACTCAATTTACATGTATACCTCTGCCTTTTTGTAAGCAGATTGAAACCGACGACCAACATATAGTAAAACATATGCAACTAAGAAGATAACACAAGTATTGCATTCTACTTCTCCGGGGAAGAGAACATCAGAAAAGAATCCGAAACCGCAGACCGAGTACTGTAAGAAGTTAAGCTTGTATCCATGGCTGAAGCAATACTTTTCAGTACAGAATAGGATATGAACTTGGTAAACTAGATATATGGTGGGAAACTAGTTCAAAACCGTTCTAATTGGTTAAGGATCAAGGATCTTTCTTCAAACCAATTCTTTTCGTCGAATTAAAGATCTATGTATCACAAATATGAATCCGATTCACTCGGCTTTAAAGAAGAAATACAGTCTGTTATGCTGGCTGCGGCCGATAAAGACGGCGTGTAAAATCCTTGGCAGACTTTGGCAGCAAACAAGATTAACCTGGAAAGAAAAACCTGCATATATGTAGCACCTACAGTTAATGCCCCAAACCTGTATGACATTTTAGCTGTTTTTGAAGATGAAGCTTTTCCCGAAGCCAGTGAAACCGAAATCGAATCCTGTGTTGCATGTGGTTCTGCCAGCCATGCCTCGAAATTTCACACGGCGAGTCGAAATGAGTATGACAAACAAAGGAAGCTTTCTGAGACATTCAAATGCAAACGTAGAGAAAGAAGACGAGAGTGAATGGGAAACTGAAGGCCATCTCGAGTACCCGAGGTCGAGCTGCTCACCAGGGGCAGATAATGAATTCGGATATACCTCAAGCACAGGAATTAGCAGAGTGTGTTCTTTGCCTGATAGACAGTTGAAGAAGGTTTCTTCCATGGCAGGGCTTTGGAGATCACGCCAAAAGAAAGTCGAAAACTAAAAAAACGATCTTGGTAGAAGGAACGAACGGCAGGCTTTCAAGTGGAAGGAAGTTAAATTGGGGCATTATGTCCCCGGATCAAGAGTCCATTAACAGTGGTTTCAGTCTCTCGGAAATGGTGGGACGTTGGAGCTCACCCGACTCTACTCATCCACGCATAACGAAAACGTGCAGCGGATCGTCCTGCGGTACGCAGACAACTAGTTTGAAGGCGAAGCTTTCGGAGGCGAGAACCGAAACTCAGAAGGTCTAACTACGACATGTTCTTAAACAGAAGATTTAGAAGTAGATGGTGATTCGAACAGGTTAGCTTCTGCCATTTGTAATGTATCCCAAGGATCCGAGGATGTAGAGGAATACAAGTTCAAGGTAACAGAATTAAGAACTTAATGATATTATCAATTTACTTAATGTAAAAATAAATATTCAAATTATACTCAAAATAACTTTTGATGCTCATAGAGTTTTTTAATATTAAAAATAGGTACCTAATATTCTCTTTAAAATAATTTTAAGTACTCAATGATAAAAAATCTAAGTGACATGTATCACGTTCATATTTTAAAAAATATTTTTAAATAATATTTTATTTTTAAAAAATCTAAAAATATAAATGTAACACATATAACTTAACAGTTTACTCTAACAATAGGCACATAAAAATATAAAGGATAAAACATTAGAAATATATTTTCAACAAAATATTCTTTAGACGTCAAAAATTAATTTTAGCTATAATTTAGGCACTTAATTTTGTATTTAGCGTTATCAATTTGAATTTACACAAATAACATCACAAGATATGAGGGATCAAAATATGCCAAATTAAAGTTGAAGGATCAAATTTTAAATTTTAGTATATTAAAAATGAATAAAGCAAATTAGACCTAACGAAAAAATAAATAAATTTAAAACCAACCCACTAAAATAATTAATATATCCGTTTTTGTGTGAACTATTTCTTTGATGGTGCCTTCATGTTCCCATCCCACCTATCTTCTTCCTCCCGCCGCCCTCGTCTCCCTTTCCCATTTCCTTTCTTGATTTTGCCGAGTTTTCTTAGTTTTCTCTGATTATTTACCGATGGGGAGAGCCAGAGTGCCGCCGTCTCCGCCGCAGCAGTGAAACCGGGAGTTGAACACAACGGATCTTTGAAAGAACCGAGGTACAGAGGTGTTAGAAAAAGGCCATGGGGAAGATTCGCCGCCGAGATAAGAGACCCATGCAAAAAGACCCGAGTTTGGCTCGGGACTTTCGACTCGGCCGAAGACGCCGCTCGAGCCTACGATGCGGCTGCGAGGTCACTCCGTGGAGCCAAAGCGAAAACGAATTTCCCCGTAGATCTCACCGATACCCCACCTTTCGTAGATGGTTTCGTTGACCGCCGTGATTTTCAAGACCCGGAAGTGAACCCACAGAGACCCGCGAGGAGTGGCATGAGCAGTACGGTGGACTCGTTCAGTGGGCCGAGACCGACGGCTGGACCGCCACAGATCTCGACAGATTTCGCGGCGGTCTCGGCTCGGAAGCGTCATCCGAGAACACCGCCTCTGGTGCCGGAGGATTGTCATAGTGACTGCGATTCGTCGTCGTCGGTCGTTGATGATGTGGATATCGGTTCGTGCCGGATAATGTTGCCTTTTGATCTCAATTTTCCACCGTTGGATGAAGCCGATGATCTCCAGTGTACTGTTCTGCGCCTTTGATCACCATGATGATGATGACGACAGATTATTGAATTTTTCTTTTCTTTTTTAAAGGGAAAAAAGAGAGACGATTGATGAAACTGGGCTTAATTGGTATGGAATCTGTCTTTGATTTTTATCGCCTCATAGATCTTTGTTTTCCGAATTATGATTATGATTTAGGGTTTGTGATATCATTCATCGTATTTCAATTTATGGATTTTTCTCTAAAATTGGATTCGAAGTTAAAACCCTAATGTTCTGATTTATTATAAAAATGTGTACATAATATTTACTGTTAAAAAATCGTTAAATATTTAAAATAAATAATTAAGCTACACGTATTATATTTAGATAATATTTTATTTTAAAAATATATATACATATTATATGTCATTTATCTATTTTTTAATGGCAAAACTTTTGAGATAATGTTTTAGAAAAAATTAATTCACGAGATAAAGCACTCTCAAGATTAATTGTTCAAATAAGGTGAAATTCACAGTGTTAGCCGTAGGTTGTCATGCCTTTCGGGCGACCTACTAGGTCGTCATGTCTTTCTGGCGAACTACAAGAGATTGTATGTGTCATGCACGTCCCAATATGCTGGGCATCTGAGGCCATCCGACCGAGGCCATCCGAGGTCATCCGACCGAGGTCATCCGAACGAGCTATGCGAGGGCATCCGAGGGCAACCGAGCGAGCTATGCGAGGGAATCCGTTGGAAGCCGAGCGAAGGTAGGTCGCCCGGAGTGCATGGCGACCTACCGGGGGGCATGGCGACCTATGTGTTGGGACGTGCATGTGTTATGTAACACATTCATTCTTTGTTTGAGCAAGGGTAGGTCGCCCGGAGTGCATGAGGTCGTCATGAGTGCATGGCGACCTACAAGGTCGCCCGGAGTATATGGAGACCTACGGCCAACACTGTGGATTTCATCCTATTTGAGCAATTAATCTTGGGAGTGTATTAGTTCGTGAATTAATTTCTTTCAGAACATTATCTCGAAAGTTTTACCATTTTTTAATGATAGATATTTAAAAGTGTAAAGGAAAAAATATTATGTATTTGTTTAAAAAATATTAAAAGTTAATTTTAAATATTTAAGTATTAATTTTTATATTAAATTTTTTATATAATAATTAAAGGCTTATGAGTCTTTAATTTTTTTAAATAAAATTAATGTGGACTTCAAATTATATTTGTACTCGATAGTCTGTAAATTGGAAAAAACATAGTTTTAACTTTTGATTAAATAAATTAAAATATCCATCATTATGATATTGAAATTATATTGTATGATTTCGATATAGAAATTTATGATGAATGATGACGTGATATAAGTATTTAGTTAATTTTTAAAATATTTAAATGTTTAATTAATTTCTTAACAGAAATTTAAAGAATTGTTTTATTTTTTAATCTACTTTAAATTTAAAGAATTATTTAAAAAGAAATTTAAAGCTACACTAAATAAAAAAATTAGATGTTACATTATTATTATTATTATTATTATTATTATTTTTAAAATTTAACGACATTAAATATCATTGAATTATATTTCAATCATTTATACTTATTTTAAATTATTCTTTCACATTTTTAAACCATACATATTTAATCTTAGTAAAGAAAAAATATAATAGTTATAATTATTTTCAAATAGTTTATATATTTAAATGGTGTATGTTTATATTTTTGTATGCGATAATATATATATATTAAAGATAATAAAAAATTAATCTAATAAAATAAAACACTAAATTCCTTAAAAAATATTATAACTTAAATTATAATATTTACTAATTATAATAATATGAAAGGGTTTAGGGGTTGAAAGAAAGAGCACTTCATTCATGCATTAAATTCAATCACAAGAGTGAAGAGAGAGCAATTCTCAGTCCTTAGTTGTGATTCAATTTAATGTGTCAATTTAAATTTCCTTTCAATAAATAAATAATAATAATTCGTGTGACATAATATATATATATTAAAATTTTAAATTTATATTATTTGTTTAGTTTTTTAATTCTAATGTGATTATATAATATTATTTGTTTAAAATATTTTTTAAATTATTGACAACATACATATATCCAGCTCAGTTGGTAGAGCACAAAGTTCTTAACCTTAGGGTCGTAGGATCGAGTCACACGGAGGGCATTTCATAATTCGGAGATCTCCTACGGAAGCTGTTCTCGACCTAGTGTTGGGGGCAGCCTACTATCCTACCTCCCCCTTACCCTATTACATATGAGAATAAAGGTCAACTAAATTTGGTGATACAATATAAAATGAATTAAAACATAACATTTAAAAAAATTAAAAAAATTTAATTTAAATTTAAAATAAATTATAAATTATAAATTATTTGAATTCTGACAGCAAGAGGAATGAATGGTGAGGATTTCAAGGAGACTTCTCAATTGTATTCATATCCATATCCTTTGCATTTTGGATCTATGATGATGGTTCATGCACTTCTCTTAATAATATACCATAATTCAAAAATATTTTTTAAAAATATTATTAAATTATTTTAAAATAATTTGTTAAACTATTAAAATTATAAAATGAATATGAAATTTAAATTTTGTTATAAAATAAATATCATGGTGTTAGTTGTTTTTACACGATGACATGATATATTAAAATTAATGGATAATATCTTATTTTGTCATTAGACTATAATTAAATTTCATGTTAGTACTATTTTAATATTTATAAGAAAATTAGTAAAAACAAAAAATCCAAAATTTAATGCTTAATTTGTAAAAGGTTTAGTGTCTAAAAAGACTATTTTGAGATAGTTTAATGGTTATTTTTAATTTTGCCCTTAAAATATAATATAAAACACAAAATCATATATATATATATATATATGTTAAAATTTAGGGTAAATTACACGGATAATTATTGTACTTTGTTTTATTTCCTATTTCACTCACTTTACTTTATATCCGTTCAATTTCCACACTGAACTTAACATAATTAGTATTTTTTGTCACTCGACCATTTTCTCTCTTAACGACGTTATAAATGAGTTGTTATATAGATGCAAAACAATGCCGTTTTGGTGAAAATTTTATTTTTCTAAAACAACATCGTTTTAACGCCGTTAAATATATAACAATTGAGTGACTAAAAATATTATGTTAAGTTCAGTGAGAAAATTGAACGAATTTAAAATAAAGTGAGTGAAAATACAATGATGATCCATGTAATTTACCCTAAGGGTGCATTTGGTTGGGGAAATATGAGATTCACATTCCCATGAGAATGTAATCACATTCCCCCGTTTGGTTAGCCGAGAATGTCATTCCCAGTCATATTTTATTATCAATAGTAGATTTTTTGGGGTATATTATCGGGAATGTCATTACCTCTCTTCCCTTAGGTATTGTTGGATTACCGGCGTTTTAGACTAAAATGCCCTTAATTTTTTTTCCTTTTCAAAAATATCATTTTTTTTCATTGAATAATAAAAATTCTACGAAGGTTAAATTACAAATTTATCCTTAAACTATTTTATATTTACAAAAAAAAATCTATAATTAAAATTTTATATGAAGTTCAATGGTTAAAATAAAATTTTACCCTTTCATTAAACCTTTTTATATTTTCAATTTTGTAAAAAAATTATATAAATTTTATGAATTTAAATTTTTTAAAGAAAATATATAAATATTTTCAAAATTATTAAAAAACAAATATATAATAAAGATAATTTGGTTAAATATACGTTCTAATAATATTTTATTCCTTTAACCAAACACGATAATCTTACATTCCTGCTAAACCAATCAAACACAACATTCCCAGTAATCCTATTCCCTGATAATCTTTTATTCTTACTAGTAATCCTACATTTTGTAAACCAATCGCACCTAAAAGTTATTGAAAATGAGAACCAATGGATACTTTCCTTGGTGCTGCTGCTGTACTGACCTTCCATCCAGTGCGCTGATTTGTTTCGATTTTTTGAAAAAAATAATAAAAATAAGAAATGGACTGGTACGACATAGCTCATGACCTACGTTTCTGCTAAGTTTTTAATTTTGCAATAAATTACATTACAATACTAAATTATTAATAGGATAAAGTTCACAAATAATATTTGATTATAGAACGTTTTTTATTGAGTTATTAACTATTAAAATTAAAAAAAAATCATATGATTATAGAAAATTATTTTGTTGAGTTTCTCTATTATTAAAAGGTACAACATGGATACTGACTATTCATATTTTTCATACTCATTTTTTCCCGTTAAAATATGACGATAATATGAGCTAGACATAAACTTACTAATTGACATATGGTAAAATCATATTTTAATACTTCTGTTAATTTCAAACATCGACTCAATGATATAATATAAACGGAGAGTCGACCAAATAAAATCTCACTCAAAACAGTTCTGAAATCAAATTTTATCATATTCTAGTCTATAGGTGGAACCTCAGGGTATCAAACATGCTTCGTCTTGTCGACCCGATACGAAGTGTTTCGATATGTGTAATAGGAGCCAGATGGGGTTCATTGTTGAAATATCAAAGCATGGGCGGTTGGAAATTGGTCTAAATTAGGCACCGAATATACAATGTCAAAATTAAGTGCAACAATGGTTGAAAATTAAATGGACAAATTATAAACTTTAGTCACTAAACTTTAGGGTAATCATAAGATTAGTCCTTAAGCTTCAACTATAAATACCCTAGCTCATTTAGCTTCAAAATCATCCCAAATCATTCTAGTTTTCTCCCAATACTAGAGAATTTAGAGAGTTTTCTTGAGAGTTTTTTTTCTCCTTTTTATCAAGAGAGAATTATCATTGTTTTCTCCTTGTTAGATAAAGAGAAGTTGTAATTCCTATTTTCTCATAGTAAAATTCTTCTACCGTTGCCCGTAGTTTTTACCTTATATTATTTAGGGGTTTCCACGTAAAATTTGTGTCTTCTTTATCTTCATTTTTATTTTCGCAAATTATCAATTGCGATCTTGCTCTATCCGATAGCCGTATTCCGCAACAATTGGTATCTGAGCCAGATTTGAGTGTGTAATATCTGCTTATTGTCTTTGTGTTTGCCACCAAAAGGTTGATCCTCCAACATAAGAAAGTAAGAAGATATTACCCATTCTTTGAAG